TTCATTCATATGTATGACATAACCGTGAAGTAGCTGTCTACCTGCCAAATACCTCTCTGATCCTTAACAACACAGATCACGGCTGTGACTATTTTTTTGAGCTCCTGCCTTTGAGTTCATCAAATATTCAGCCATGTCAAACACTCCCTCAATATCAGACTCTACGCAACAGTATTTCTGTGATGCTTTACAGTACATAAAGACAGTCTGGCAATGCATGAATGGTATATAGCACTTCTGAGATAGGCATCTGGTACACTCTTCTGGCCTTCTTGAGACTCACACACTGTCTTCTCTTTGACTCATTAGGCTGAGTAGTGTGGTCTCAAAACTGATTTGTCCAGAAATTAGCTTAGTATACTGCTAGTCTACCTGTACATGCAGTTCAAAATCAAAATTTGTTTATTTGTGTCATATTTATCAGGGTAGGACTGGTCTGAGCTGGTCTGAATCGGTCTAAGACCGCATTTGGTCCTAGACTGGTTATGACCGGTCCAGGACTGCACGGAGGACTGTACAGGACCAGGACCCAGTCTTGGTCCGGTCCTGCACAAACAGATGCTGGTCCTTGACCAGTCTGAGTCCTGGTCCTACCCAATTTTTAAAAAAGACTGGACCGGACCGGACCCTCAACCACTAATTATAACCTTCAGAAGGTCTACACTTGCAGAACAAGTCAAGTTGCAACAAGTTCCATAAGTGTGCACCTATAGCAGACACCAGACAATGGTACACAATTGTGCCTGGCAGGAACTGTTGAGTCTAGAATATCCATATTTTGTCTTGTATGTACATATCAGATTGCTCTCACCTTATTCTGAACTCAGAGAATAGTAACAGAGCTGGCACACCTAAGCCTAATCCAAGCCTGAGCTTTTAAGTCAGGCTTGGGTTTGACTACACTTTGAGTCTGGCCTTGAGCTCACTGCCAGGCTTGATTCAGGCCAAGCTTTTTGGATCAGGCTTGGTGGGCTTGCAAGTTTTGAGGCCTGGCCTGCACATCACTATCTCTTGCTGTTGAGCCTTAGCTCTAGCCTATGGTTATTCTTGCCTACTCCTTGTAGCTGCCTGTTCTAGTCTCTGGCAGAACTATTCTAGCTGTAGTTGTGTGTTGGAGTGTGATTATCACTGACAGTCTTAACATGAAGGTGAAATAAATTGAGGTGGCCAGCAGAAGATCTGAGCATTATATAAGTGAAGGTCTAGTACAACTAAAGTTAGCTTAGACTTATTATCTTAAGCAATTTGGAAGCAAATCTGAAAGGTTAAAGACCTTGGGACCATGATCTTAAAAGAATTTGATCTTGAAAAGAATAATCGAAGATCTATAGAGTAAGCTATATTCTGATACAGAGAAGAAGAATGCTTTCAGCAAAAGCTCAAAATTAAATGGAGTCTGTAAAATAGATGTTTTGGCTCATTCTTGGAAGAGAAAAAAAGGCAGTGAAAATTAAGGAGTGCCATCAGTTCAAGAAGGCTTTCTGGTGCTTATGCAATTTGACTCTACAATCTCTCAGTTTAGGGCAAACTGTGTATATTATGTATTCTAGTCAAACAAACCAGTAAGCTATGGTGTTTCTATGCATTGAAGCAGCTAAGTGTACATGAGACAAATGCAGTATAGCATATAAACTAGCTCATTCAATATTCAATCTCTATCTAAACTCTAATTGTACCTAAGAGATTATTATCACAAGCTTTCACCAGGCAGTCCAGTATTAAGCAAATCTGAACTGACCTTACAGGCATAGGCTGATAGGTTAAAAGGCTTGTAATAAATACAATAGATATTTACACTCATAAACCATGTACCTTACATTTTTGTATGGCAAGATCATTCACATCTAAATTAATATGCACTCACTGGCATTTAGTGGTGTTACTCCATCAAAGTTCAGTATGTTTCAGGTCTTTTAAAAGTAAGGGCCTTTGTTTGCACCTTTGAGTATTTTCTGATGAGGTCCAAGCTTAGCTTGAGATTCTGAACCAGGCTTTTAAGGCTTGTGAACTTTGAACCTTGTCCTGCATATTACTATACTAGATATTACTATTGTATAAATACTGAGATTGCTGTCATGAGTAAAAAATTTATACTAAGGCAGTGCAAATAATAGAAAGAAGTTTCACAGTATGGCAAGGAATGAAGAAATTGCACCCACCGAGCACCTGCGCTGTGGCCCACATCATCCTAGTTGGAGGATTACCCACTTGTTGTAGCAGAGCTACCCATTGCAGCACACCGCAATCCACGCCGCAGAAAGCAGTAATCTATGTACTTCAACTATCTCTGATATTTAAATACATTGTGCGAGCCCTTCTACATGCAAGAAAATGGCTGTATCCATGAGACAAGCACTGTCGAGCCATCCGACTGCCCTGGCGCAGCGTTGGGCGCCTAGATCAAACGGCTGTCCGAGTTCCTAGTGAACGAGCGGTAAAGCACTCCTGCAGGCAAAATATTCACAGCTTCCGAGCTTCGTGTAGACGCAAAGTAAAATTTATTTTTGGGCCCCATATGTACATTTACTTAGTTCTCAACCTACCTGTGGCATTTTTCTATAGAAAATATGTCTTTGTGTTGTATGAGATATCAAACGATCTTAGGTGTCCGAGTTCCTGATAAGATACAGTACCTCTTCTACGGTATCATCGGACGGTAATTAATGGAAGTACCTGCTGATATCTTGATGACCTCTGTCACCGAATCCATCTTGACAGCTAAGGGTGATATCGCCCACGCCGGCACCTAGTGATGTGCGGGCCCGGCTTGGGCTCAAAGCCCGGGCTTGGGCTTGTGGCGACGTCAAGCCGAGCCCTGAGCCCGAGCCGAGCCCGAGCCCGGCCCAAGCCTTGGGCTTAAGCCCGGGCTTGCTCACAATACAACGAGTGTTCCGGTGCTATCAAAAGGGAATGTATTTGGGTGTAGTAGATTAATACTGCATGTACTCACTAAATTATAACCTCCAGAAGATCTACACCTGTGGAACAAGTCGAGTCGCAGCGAAGTCCACGAGCGTGCGCCTACGGCAGGCACCAGATGGTGACGCACAATCGTGCTCGGCGGGAGCCGTTACATCTAGAATATCTACATTTTGTCTTCTATGTGCATATTAGGTCGCTCTCTCCTTATTATGAACTCAGGGAACGGTAACGGAGCCAGCACACCCAAGCCTGGGCTTCCGGGCCGGGCTTGGGCTTGACTACGCTCCGAGCCCAGCCTTGAGCCCGCTGCCAGGCTTGACTTGGGCCAGGCTTTTTGGGCCGGGCTTGGCGGGCTTGGAGGCTTTGAGGCCCGGCCCGCACATCACTACCGGCACCGATGAACGATCATCCGGAAAAAATGAGGGGGCCGGGCTTACCGGTGCTCGTACCATGTATGGAAGGAGTGGATCTCGGGAGCAAGAACCATGGCCGAGCAGCAACGGACATCGCCGCTGTCGCTCACTTTTCTGCCACTCATGTGCTGTCGACCCTGAGACTGCATGATCTGGACCCTGTGTACTTCGCAAACCCAGCATTTCGCATCTCATCAGCCCAACTCAATTTAGCTACGAATCAGCCTATGATCATGTGTATCACTCCACGACCAAAGGTGGGTTGTCTGGCATCAAGTCCATCAAGGTTGTCGACTGATTGCTGCCTCTTATCACGCAGGCACAAGATGCAGATGCAATACTGCACAGCCCTTTCGGTACCGTACAATCCATTGCTCTGCGAATGACGCACAATCTTGTTTTGTGTATCACCCTCCCTCTAGAACTCGGAGTCAAATGCGCGCAATTGGTACAAACCTGCGCGCAGTATAATGCACGCAATCCAATAATCCCTGCTCAGCTGCTTCGAGACGTATCCGGTGTATGCAGAGGCAGTCCTGAGAGCGGCCAAGATGCGAGGTATCGGCGGTCATACCCATGTGGATCTTCCGTCCGAGGCGCTTTCCGAACCCTTTTTCACCACGTCCTCTCCGCTTGTCAACCACGCGATGGCCGCGCCTGATAGCACCAACACATGATGTTTTGAGTTGTATATAAGGCGCAATGGTGCGCTTCGTGCCACCACCCCTCATCTATCCCTCGTTATGACGCACGATCCCACTACGATTGCCGACACAGTCGGCGCATTCGAGATTGGGACGTTCGCTGACACCCTGTAAGCTCCTGCATCGCTTTCTTCGGAAGTTGCGCTCTGATTGCCCTTTCTAGTTTGTTCGGCATCCTTTGCTTGCAATGCTATATCTTTCTGCACAATAACGAGCGGGCAAGCAGGCTAATGCAGTATTCGGTGAGAAACCCCTCTGTGCGGTGGAATCGGAGGGTACAAAGACTTACGCATCTCTAGATCTGGACTATCTGGTAAGTGGATGTAATTTTGAGTTTGCGTCCATATGGCTGACCTCGCTGTGTCAGGTTACTCAATACGGGACATCTGATATGCTCAATACATGTCACCTATTGGTGGGATGCTTCAGCAGAGTCAAGGCGACATGGAAGCTTACAAGCTCCAGGTACACCGTCACGAACTTCGGTAATGTCCTTGAGGACTTCACACATCAGCCTAGGTGAGCAAGAGTTGAGGTTATATGAGCGGCTACATCGTAGGCTTATCTCTATCCTTTTCCCTAGAAGCAGCGCAGTAAGCCCACTTCCGTGGCTATTCCCCTTTCGTTCTGATTATCCTCATTCTCTAGTTCATGACCCTCTTCGGTGTACGTCGAAATGCCTTCAACTCCGCTGATCGCTCTTCCTAATTATGCCCGTCTGCTACTACAGGTCATGAGCAATCTGATGGTCCAGGTGTAGGTGGTCGTTCCACGGGTGGAATATTCTTCTGACCACCTACGCAGCTGGTTCATCTTCCGCATTTGGATCCGTAAGTCCTGATGAGGAAGGCATACGCGTCAAAGCTGACATCCACGGCTGTTGCCATTGTCAGTGAGCGATAGGAACCGTCGTCTGATGGTAGTTCTGGTGGGCATTCCGTGGTGACAGCTTTACAAAAGCTCACTTTAGACTCGCTAGAGCACCCTCACTGGGATAGCCTTTGGTACGCCATCTGTGGGCCACTCTATCTCCTCGAACTAATTCAGATGCGGCAGGTGTGGCGGCATGTACGTCAAACGTCCTCTACTTTGAACTAGTCCTATGCTAATTATCGCCTCTGTAGCGTTTGCTCTAATAACGTAGGCGAGAGTCCTCTGGGACTCGTCCCTATTGCTAAATAATTGCAGAATCATTCCATCGCCTCTCACAGCAACTGAAGAATCTGTCACTCGCATCAATGTATGTTGATTTGCAATGCAATGTCTCAATGTGGTAGGCTGACCCGGAAGTGCACCATAGTGGCTCATATACTTTACGCATAGCGTGGATATTCTCGCAAACCTCGCGCTGACTATCGCATTATGCTACTACCTATGGAAAGCCAAGATGACGACCCTGTCCAAGTTCGCATCACATCTCTACCGGTATGTTGAACTTTCGTAGCTGACGAACAGCACAGAACCCGGTCTGTGGTAGAATGGACACTGACCTACACTGTCAACACTGGATTATTGGCAATGTTAGTGAGAATATGCGCCACACGCCCTCCTTTCAGACTCATGCGTTTTGCAGGATCTTCCCCATTACTACGATTATTCTAGTCAGTCATCCATGCGGTTATCATCGTACGCTTTGCTCACCGAGTCGATATAATAGCGACTGACACGACCGGATGATATGGTTTTCTTCTCAGGTAATCGTTAGCTTGACCGCTTTGCATCGCCCGTTTGCTAACATCTGGGTGTAGTCTACGTCCCCTACAGCGCGAGTAAGTGGTCCATCTCCCGACGTCATTTGATGTTTTAAATGGGCACATTTAGTCTACTCTAATGCGCTACTTGGCTCGTACGTCTCGTTTTTCTCCAACGCGACACAAGCGGCTGACACTTGTCACTCTCATCTTTCTCGCAAGCCTTAATGCGCGGGACTGGGTTCGACATGACGACGATCCTGTCACCATCCATCTGAGCGACCTGGACAACAGCGTGCTGTCGACTCCAAACGGAACGAGGGCCACAATCGTGAGAGTTCCTGCGCTGTTGACTTGGCTGTGCCTGACCTGCCGTTATGACAGAACCGCGGCAACCACCACGCCAAGTCCTCATCGGTGCGCCACATGCCTCTTCTGGTGAAGATCGACGTTTGCTAACAGCCTAGCAGGCAACCACGCCTCTCACAGTCAAGGTGGAGTCAGAGACTCATACCCAGGTCGTCAAGTTCTCCGATGGGTACTGTTGAACCGTTACAATCCCGTTTGCTTTTGATAGCGAACTGCTTTCATGTACGATACTTTACTTACCCAGCCATTGTCGCACCTGTTGAATGAACGGGCCGCTGCCAGTGTGATCTACGTCATCGAGATGGCAGGCGTTCGCTACTTATTCGGCAGCCGCGTACAAGTATGATATGACATATAGTCTTAGTCCCGAATCAAAGGCGAAACAAGGAATGAACGTGTGTGAACAACGTGCGCACGCAAAATCTGGAGGAAAACTTCAGCAGCAGCACCGTCGTTGTGGGCTGTTGTGGACGCCTGTTGTGCATCGCCATCCGACGGGACTTCATGTAGGGAGCATCCATCATACCCGTCAATCTTGCGCCGGCTGCGGCAACCGACGAGGAGACCGTTGAGTATTTAAGTACCCAGTAAGAGTGCCGCGTCTGATATAAGCAGCGAATCTTTCCCAAGGTTGGACACCACTGCAGCCGTCTTGCGCACATTCAGATGTCGTGAGAACGTGTCCCGAATAAGGTGCCTGGGCATTCGCACACTGAGGGGTACGACGCAAGTCGATTCTAAATTGTCTGTCAAGGTGCAGTCACATAATAGTAGGAGAGGGCTAGATATACGTTATTACCAGAGGACGATGCAGAGAAAGATGCAGTACTGTGACGGTCATGGACATGAATTGTATACGAGATAAACACAAGGACCTCAGAACAGCCTCCGTGTGACGGAAACTCTCCAAAGTGACCCCGCCTAGAGGAGAAATAGTGTCCGTAAATAACATACGTAGCGTAGAGCGGCGGGGCCGAATGTTGATGTTGACAGAAAGAAGAATGGAGAGATGCATGGGATACCAACTTCAATGAGAGTCAGAATAAGAAAATGATAGCGATAGAAAGAGAAGACGCCAAAACCCAGAGATTACGGTGGTATATAGTGAAGGGGCTACGACACTACAGGTCAGACGAAGGAACCTACATTAGTGGAATATTCAAGACTCTTGATTACCGCTGTAGGTCCGCACGTCTGGAGAAGACCCATCAGCCATGTGCAGGAAGAAAACGGCCAAGCACTTACTGTCGGAGCGTGTCGTACAAGAACTTGTAGCTTCGAAGGTTTCCTTTCAAGCGACGGATGTCCAGCGAGTAGGTACCATCCAGACGGTCAATGCGAGTGAGCTCGACGGAGAACCGTACTTCATCGCCTTGATCATGCTGTTGGCTGCCATAGATCGGCTCACCGGTGAGTTGTGCAGGGGCATCCGTAGCGGGGACAACAGCCGCCAGGGCCGCATCAGGCGCGCTTGAGGGCTCGGCGACGGCGGAAACCTGCGAGGACTGGCGCCGCATGAGCAGGCCGCGTAACATACCACCTCCGCTCGAGGAGTGAGACGACGAGGGTACGGGGAGGCCGCGCTTGTCGACCTTGGTCATCAAACAGTTGTCAGCAGACTGCGACTAAAACACGGAAAGCTACCCACCCCGTTGGATGCTGCAGAGCCCACGATTGTGAACGCGGCAAGGCCGCCGCCAGCCTCGCGCAACCCGTTGGTGCCAGAGGCGGTCTTCTTGCGCTTGGGCCGGATGCAGCGGTACTTGTACTCGCCCTCGATCTGGATCTCGACGCCCATCTCCTCGAGCACCTTCTTGACCTGCTTCATAACGTCCGGCGGTGGGGCAGTAGTAATCGTGCTCTGGTCGACGGCACCCTGGTGCACGCGGATCGTACCCCGCGCGACCGCGGAAGATGAACCACCGAAGCGACTGCCTAGGGCGCTGGCGAAGCTGCGTTCGTGCAACGGCTCGGCATTGGAGGCGGCGCGCGCGGGGTGTGCGGAAGACGGCGAAGGGCCCTTCTCGGGCGAGTTCTGACTGACCGTACTCGTAGAGGAGGCGGGCAAACCATTATCAGGTCGGGCGTCCACTGGGGTCTTCTCTGCATCTTCCGCCAAGTCGACGACCGCGCGGCCCTTGCTCTTCGAGCGGAACCATTGCATAACCTTGTTGGCCTTAAGCGTAGAAGCGGGGACGGAGCCAACGTCGGCTGTTGACGAGAAATGCGGCGTCGCAGAAGGACCGATGTTCTTCTTCGGCACCGCGGAAGGCGTCCGAGGAGGGGCTGGCTCGATCGGTTTTTCCTTCTCTGTTGGGGTCTTCTCCTGAGCAAACTCCGGAGTGACGTTGCGACTCTTGGTGCGACTCTTGAGAGAGGCACGAAACGGCTCTACCATAACCGTGAGCGTATTTCGTCTGCTCTTCTTCGTGCTAGACATCGTGTCGGGGCTAAGCAGACCGGCATCGCTCGTGGTAGCGCTTGGGGTTGCTGGCGAAACGGGCACTTGCAGAGTCGACGGCCGCCGGTGAACGTCGTTGACGTTCTTTCCGGTGATAGTGTCCCGAGACGGAGCTCGGTCCGCCGACGACTTTTGAGATGTCGATGACGTTCGAGAGATAGTCCCGTTTGTCTGTGGCTTTTGGACGTCGGGCGAAGACGGACTGAATAGCTTGGCGATGCCGATCTTGTCCATGGAGATGCCTCGCTTGTGGCGGCTCCTCGTCGACCCACCCGATCCCGATGACGTCGTTCCATTTCGCGACGGTTGCTCAACAGCGGGACGTGCGGGGTGAATTGGCGGGCTGGTAACCTCGATGGAGAGAACAGGCTCTGCCGGCTCCCCTTTGGACTGCTCCTGAATCTTGGGCACAGCGTTTTCTTTCTGAGAGCCGACTGGGGTAGCAGGTAAAGGTTTTGGGCTGGCCTGGTTGACCTGCTCCATAGAAGGGACCGGTTTGCGCGCCGAAACAGTGGGTCGGTCTCGAATAGATGAAGACCTACGTGGAGAAGTTGCTGAGCCGCCGTCCACGACGGGAGACCTCTGTGGCTGTAGTTCTTCTCCTGGGGTACCGTACTCGACTTGAATGGTATGGCGAAAGGCACCACCCTTGCGCTTTGAGTCGGGTGAGCTCTTCACAGGCGCAATTATCGGGGTATGAGGGTCCTGCTTCTCACGTGCATTATCATCACCATGACCCGGTGGGGGTGGAATGGAAGTCGAAGAAGCATCCGCACCGGTTGGGGGAGCGAACGGATCGTCGTCGACAGCCATTGGAGAAGAGCTGGGTACGACGATAGCGGAGTTGACACCCCGACGAGCAGAAGGAGGGGTAGAATACACAGACATATCTGCAGAGGTCTCGTACAGATATTCGGGTTGGGTGCGGTGGCTGCGCGAGCCGCTACCAGTGGCAGCGCTTTGACTGCGGGCGATTTTGTTGGCGCTGGAATCCGAGGAGGCCTGCTTCATCGACCTCTGATATGCCAGGCGTTTCTGGTGATGCTGTTCCATAGCCATACGCTCCAGGTCGTCTACGCTCTTGCTGAAAATGTGCGCATAGGGTGCCAGCCAGTGATGCGCCATGATAGTAGGCAGATCGGCTCGGCGGGCTGGGTCGGGTACAAGCATAATAGACAGTAGATCCCGCGCCTCTTCGGATATGTAGTCTGGGAATGAGAGGGGAGTATTCACGATATACTTGTATAGTAGATTAATGTTGTCTCCGTCAGGGTTGGCGGGGTCGTCGTCAAAGGGAAGGTAGCCAGCTAGCATGGCATAGAGGATTACGCCGCAAGACCAGATATCGACGGCCGAGCCAACATATAGGCCGTCCGAGATGACTAGTTCGGGCGCGGCATAGCAAGGAGATCCGCAGCTTGTCTGCATCAGATCGTCTGCGCGGTGCTCGAATCGGTTGGCGAAACCAAAGTCAGTAATTATGACGTTCCGGTTGCGGTCGAGGAGCAAGTTTTCCAACTTCAAATCGCGGTGCACAATCTTCTTTTGGTGGATATACCAGACACCAGAGATGAGCTGGCAAAAGAGCTTGCAGGCGTCCTTCTCGCGGAGATAGCGATGAGCAAGGATGTGGTCAAACAGCTCACCGCCGGACGCATATTCGAGGATGATGCCAATATATTTGTCGGTCTCGATGACGTCGTATAATCGCACGATATTAGGATGTTTGAGTGTCTGACGTATTCGGCACGGTTGAGGACATGCCCGCTGTTAAAGGAGACGAAAGGCGCACCCGGAGGACCTCAATCTCCCGCTCAATCTTGCTCATCCTCACTGGAGACTCGACATTCCCCCTGCGTATCAGCTTCACCGCGACTTCCTCCCCCCACTGCATGTGTAGCCCCAACTTCACCTTGCCGAATTCACCCTCACCGAGCGTCCTCAGTAGCAAGTACGGTCCGAACTTTGGAATAGTGCGCTTCGGGTGAGAAGCAGCATACTCAAGCGCAGCAGGATGAGAGTAGACATCTCTATAGACTGGTTGTTGCTCCTCCTGTTGGTGAGCGGGGACCACTGAGTGGGATGCGCGTTTCCTAGATGACGCGGACGGAGGAGTCGCAGATGGTATGGGCTGCACCGACACCGGACGAGCAGACCTCGAAGGACCCGCAGCAGAGTCTGGATGCAGATTGGAGGAGAAAGGATCCATGGTGGTCGGGGACGACAGAGTTGAGCTGCCAGGAAGGGACGAGTACGTTTTGAACCCGTGATTCGCTCGGTAACCAGGCTGTTGTTGAACCTTGGACGCGGATGGCTCAGCGGCGGGGATAAAAGAAACAAGAAAGCAGCACACCTCTGAAAGCGAGTAAAGAGCGTCGGGCTCGTCGATGAGCTCGCCGTCGCCGTCGCTGAGCGACTGGAACGGGAAAGGTCGTGGATGATGACAAGGACAGCGAGGACGGTCCCAGCGTTGTGATGGCGCATAGTGCCTCTTTAGGAAATACACGTGGCACTGACTAAGCAGTCCCCGTCTCCTCTCGAGCTCTCTCCCGTCCAGTCCAGACGGAAACCTTTGGAGACAGAATATCTCAGCAGATATTTAGGGTCGACGACGTGCAATGGCAGCCGCTGAAGCTCAGGCCGCAACTCACCTCGCAAGATATACAGTACAAAGGTCAGGATTGCCATGCCTCTGATATCACCCTACATATCCACCTGACAACGCGTCCAGCTCAGACGTGCTGTCCGACATGCGAATAAACGTATCTGAAGAAGGGACAGAGCGTGTTGTCTGGTACAAGGTGGCCTTCCTCGACCACTAGTCTGTGCGCGAGATAACGTACGACGCAGGTCTGAAGGAAAGGTTCCTAGGCGAGGAAGAAATCGTCGAACATGTTGTGGTGAGTCAACCTGCTGTCGAGCTGGTCATCAGCCCTCAGTATTCCGTCCAGGAAAACGCGACGTCTACGATTCAATGGACAATACACCGGCCAAAGCGAGGGTGGTACCTCCGCATTCGCGGGCCAACATTCCCGCCTGGGTCATTCATCTCGCTTACCCCAGTCCCACAGTCATCGCCGTACCATGCGGACGCAGCATTGACCTTTGCCTGCCGTACGAACATGCCTTCCCAGCAAACTCGCGTGTCTGTCTCATCACCGAAGGTCTCTATGGACTCAGACGCGACGCTAGCCGGGGATGCATCCCCTCATTCATACCCTCCGACGCCGCCTACCAATCCCATAGTCCGGATTCAACCACCGTCTCCACGAAGTGTACAAGCAAGACTCGAAGAGATCCCCGAAGCTCGTTCCACCGCTCAAGTTATCAGGCCGTTCATCCTTACTCCGCATTCTAGGGCACACGTTCCAACACATACGCAACTCTCTGTGCTCGCCCGAGTCATGGCTGCCTTGAAAAACCATGCTCCGTCTCATGACATGTCTTTCACGCTATCACCTATTCCGCAGGTGTCTGAGGAACAACCGTCGACATCATCAACAGCCGCAACTCCCGTACTGACACCCGTACCGCTCTTGACCTATCACGATCGGACGCCAGCGTGGAAGGTGGGGTCGACCTTTGGTATCTTCGAGGTGGATCGTCGCGAGGAACGAGAGCTTGGGATACAGCCCAGCTTCTATGTCGCCGTCGCGTTAACGTACCTCGAGTTTCTCGAAGAAAGAGAAGTGAGTCGTAGACTCGCAAATCAAACTCTCCCAGCTAACATCCCGTTAGAGCTTCTTGGCCGCCGCCTCTGACTGATTCGAGCTAAACGGCGAGGCTATAACGAACACCATAGATCCATCTAACTAATCCTACACTTGCTGCTAGCCAGCCCTCTATATCTTCGCGGAGATACCTTCGGTATGTGGCGTAATGAATATTCCTAGGCTATTCGGCATGTTCAAAACCGTCTCTTACAACCAATATGTGATTATTACCGATCCCTCTCTTACGACAGGGTCACACTTGTTGTGTGATCGCCTAGGTGAGCATTCTGTGTACGTCACCTCCGACGCATTTTGTGTCCATTTCCTCGGACTTTTTCAGAACAGCCCGGTCTGTGATCCTGCTGTTCCAAACGTGCTCAGAGGATTTGGGAGATGGAATAGCACTTCAGCGGATTCTGCAATAGTAGAGGTCGTAGACTCGCCAGCCAGCCCGCTCGGCAAGCTCCGTGGTTTCCCACGCACGACGGTCAGAGAGCCTCGAGCGCTTGCCGAAAATGGCAAAAGCGAGAGAGGCCCGAAAGACCGGACCGGACGGGGACGAGCCTAGAGGGTCGCCAAAGGTCTGGCGCGCTTCCAAATTTGGGCTGTTTTGGCGCAGTCATGCTCATCACCAGGGCGCTGTTGTGTTCCCGTACTATTGATCCCGAAACCATCGGAACGGAGAATGTGCTTCCTGATCTCACGGATTTACCGTCAAAGTCGGCGCTGGTATACTTATACGCGCGGTGACCAGAGGTTGCGGGGTATCCCCACTCTTTCTCAGTTCCATGATGCTGCTGCATACCTCTCAAGTGCGCCCTCCCTAACGAAAGTGTTGAATGCTGTCAAGCTAGAACTCTTTGCCAGCTCCCTCAGGCAGATAGACAGGTGTGTTCATTCCGCTGCTGCACTGCTCTCAAAAGCCGTTGAAAGGTTGTGCGACGGGGTAGTATGCCGAGCGACACCTGGTGGTGTCTTTACCGCAGTCTGAAAGCCAGTTTTCGAACATGAAGAGGCAGATTACTACCCCACGTCGCCGGATAAACAAGAAAGCGCATGTGGGTCTCATGTCGACCTCCTCCGCCCAGAGCCTGAGTATCTTCGTGGCGGTAAGCTCGCCATCGTCTTCAGGTATGCATGTCTTCGCAGATGACATGCAGATGAATGCGAACTACGACTCGCACGAGCTCTTTGTTGCTATCATCCCTGCTTGTGAACCTTGATCAGACTATCGTAAGGTTCATCTTCCATATCGCGTCGCTGAGGCTGAGGCTCTACCAGGTTGCCACTGCCCTACCGCGCATCGTCTCTGTCTTCGACGCACTCGATCTTACCACATGGGTCGCCGCAGCCTGTAAGCTGATTCGCCGTCCCTCACTTGGATTTTTTTTCCTGATGTTATGCCAGACTTCCTGACAGAAGCAGGGCTCATGCTCTGCGTCGGACAGCTGGTCAAGACGATACCCATTAAAGTTGTCTATATCATTTCGATCATTGTCTTTGAAGTCGGGTCGGTCCTGTGCGGGGCGGTGAGCAAGACCAGTCGCTTCATCAGCGTCATGTGCTGACAATGTGCCTACTAGGCCCCGTCGATGGAAGTGCTGATCCTTGGTCGGGCTGTAGCTGGATGCGGTGCCGCGGGGTCAGTACTTGAGATTCAGGCTTGCAAATTAGTATCGCTGACAGGACCGCCGCAGCATTACCATCTGCTCCATTGCAACCATCGCAACTGTATGTGACCCGATTAGCCACGGTTTCTTGGGTTATTAAAAGCACAGTCTTCCCAGTTTACACGGCTCGAGGATCGCCCAGCCTTGTTCGGCGGGTTCGGCGTGCTGCTTGCGGCAGCGAGTATCATTGGCCCTCTGTTAGGTGAGATGCTGTGGTTCACCATTGACAGTAGCAGAGACTGATTCCTGTGCATATAGGCGGAGTATTGACTAGTGAGTAGGGAGGCTCGGCAAGGCGCATTTGCTGATTTAGGTAGACCATGTGTCTTGGAGGTGGTGCTTCTACATTAATCTCCTGGTATGTCACGGCGCGCGGCGTTTCCGCCTAGTGCTCATCACTTTATAGATTGGCGGCACAAGCGCAGTGGCAATGGTCCTTTGGCTGCCGTACCGCAAACCAGATATCTCAATGCTGGCTGGTCGCAGTCTCCTCTCGCGTTTCAACTAGTACGCCTTTGTCTCTCTGTACATTTCCACCAACTCACCTGGGTACGGCACACTCGATTGGTTTGGCACTGCCCTCTGTCTCGGATTCTCCACGTGCCTTCTACTAGGCCTCGAATGGGGCGGATCGATCAAACCCTGGACAAGCGCCTCTGTAATCGCGCCTCTGTGCGTCACCGGTATGCTTGTGGTCGTATTTCTGGTATGGGAAGGATTCCGTGGGGCGGAGGCCTTGCTCCCATACTCTATCTTCCGCAGGCGGATGCAGATTGGTGCCTCATTGGAAGCAGTGCGTGACTACTCCAGACCTAGCTTGAAGTTTAAGTTGACAATGCAGTTCAGTTTTGGCTGTTGACGTCTCTTATTGTCTCGATAGTATGTCAAATATTAGAGTATGCATATAGCCATGTTGGTGTCCCTTGTGTCGCAGTATTACCTCCCTCTTTGGTACCAGACTAACGGAAAAATAGGGTGCAGTCAGGAATCGACATTCTTCCACTGATGCTCTCCTTCGTTATCTGTGAGTACCCTCTCAATCTCTGCAGGATGCCGCTCTGATTCATTGGTTAGCTTCTGGTGTGGCATCGTATATCACTACGATATGCATTCACCGTTAATATATCCATATACCCGCCTCAACAACCCGCCCCAGGCTACCGGCCGAAATTGGCACCTTGTGCTTCTCACGCCGCTATTAACGGTCGTTGGTGCAGCCCTGATCTTCACGTCCGATGCTTCCACCGCCAACGCCAAGCTCATCGGCTACTAAATTTTCATAAGGGTACGCTAGATAGGGTTCTATACTGTCTGGAATTGACTGACCATCTACTCACAGGCTGGTTTTGGTGCGTTGTGCTACTGCTGGCACCAGCCGTGGCTATTGACATGGAAGCAGGCGGCTCGTATCAGTCCTCTTACGTTGCTATACAGGCCGATTGGGCAGATAAGGTCGAGGAGACCACTCGGGCGTCGGGTATTTTGGTAGGTACTTTACGAACTCCTGACGACTCGGCATGAATCTCATACCTCACAGACGTTCGTTTCTTACCTTGGAGGAATCATCGGCCTGAGGTGTGTTTCTAGCCGTCCGCATGCACACCACAGTCGCTCACACAATCCCACAGTATCGCTGGCTCAATCTACAACAACCGTCTCGGCAGCGAACTCTCGCAAGTCCCAGGAATGACGCCCGAGCTTGTTGATACCCTGAAGCAGAGCATCACCGTCATCTCGACCCTCCCTGACAGCATCCGCGAACCGGTTCGCGAGGCGTCGATCAAGGCCCTCAGCTCTATCTTCCTTATTCCCCTGATCGGCTCGGCGCTGGGCGCCATTTGCGCATTGTACGTTTCCTGGTTGCTCAACAGTCTATAGCCTTCTCGAGCAATTTGACAGTGCCATCCGAAACCACAATGTCAAAGAAAGGGCAAAACTTTCCGAGGGTGTCGGAGCTAGTGTTGCCGTCGTCTGATGTAGACTTGTTACCAATCTACTCGGCAGTTGGTAGGGGCTTGTACCGAGGGTGGGATGGTGGTCGGTACGCCGAAATTCCGTGCAAGGTGGCTGGTATCGAGCCTACGTCTGATGTGATCTAGCCCAATAGTCCGCTACTGCCTTGAGAGAGGCCGCAGCGCGTTGTCTGTCCTTACTGAATTTATATCCAGTCCTTCCATCCTTCGCGTTCTCTGCATTATATATCAGCCTGGCGTTCTGTCTCACATACGTAGAACAAGTATCAGACAGGGACATTGCAGATTGTCATATATAATCGTGCCTACAGCGAGGAGCTCGAGCGCCGTCCTGCCGAACTAAGTTAACCTACCCCGATGAGTTTGTATGCCGAGCTGACCCTGGGCACTTGAATCACAATGAATGTGCCGAGGCACGATGGACCTTGACAAAGCAATCATCAAGCAAGGGACACGAATTAATTCCGCTGCCTGAGCTGATGCTTCGTGGCGTCGGAGGATTAGTGCTGACAGCGGTGATTCGACGAATACGTTTACCGTCTCAACATTTGCACGCACAGCAGCTGTGGGCTAGTGCATAAAGAACATGAACAGGTCCAGAAGGTTGGGCTTAAACTCGACAATATCGGCCAGACGTGCGCTGGCGAAGGCGTGAAGCAAAGCCAGCAAAACTAGTAAACTCAAAATCACATATCATCGTCTACCAGTCCCCTTTCATCAACCATCTCCAGCTTCCTCTTCTTCCCGGGCAACTCCTTGCCGCCGCCAAAGCCAACCCCAGCCTTTTTGCGTAGTTCCTCGATGTCAACGCTCGAATCCTCCTCGGCCCACTCGAGAACAAGGTGCCGCCCGAGCAAGTGAGTGTGCCTGAGGGCCGCGTACGCGTTCTCTGCCTCGTGGCGGGTGATGAATTCGAGGAACGCGAATCCGCGCGAGCGGTGATCGAACTTCTTCGGGAGGCGGACGCTCTTGAGCTGCCCATGCGCGCCGAATAGGTCGCGGATATCCTTCTTCGTCGCCTCGAACGGCACATTCTTTACGATCATCTTCGTCGTCCGACTCTTGACCTTGCCTGCGTCCTCCTTCTCCTCCTCCGCCCCGCGCCCCGCAAACTTGACGACAAGCGCGTGCCCATCGAGCACGTACCCCTGCATTGCTTTCAGACCCTTCCTCGCGCCCTCTGCCGTCTTGAAGCCCACGAAACCATAGCCCATGCTCAACCGTGCGTGTGCGTCGCCGGGCTTCTTCGGGTCCGGCTTCGTTTGCACCCGCGCGAACGCAAAGTCGGGGAGGTGCCGGAACGCCGCGACGAATCGCTCGCTTGCTGTCGAAAAAGCGAGATTCTTCACGAACAGCGTCGAGCCAGCGTTCGGAGGTGGATCGTTGGGGGATGGTGCGTCGGTGTCCGCAATCTTCACCGGTGCAGCACTCGCAATGGTGACGGAGCCATTCGCCACAGGGACAGAATCGACGAACATGCCCACAGGCCCCTTCTCAAGATAGGTGATCGAGTTGCCCATGCGCCGGTATGCAACAGTTTTGAACGCCTTCCTGGCTTCATCTGAATGCACGAATTCCACGACAGCCATCGTCCCTGCCGGCGGCACTAGAACACGCCGCAGCTTCCCGTGAGCCTCGAAGAGTTCACGAATCTGGTCTGCAGAGGTGCCATACGGGATGTTCTTGACGAGGATCGTCGTGTCGCTGCGTGCGACGCGTGGTCCGGACAGCGAAGAGAGGACAACACCGTTTGTCTCAAGGAAGGACTTGGTTTCTTGGATGACATGTGTCTCCGCAAGCGCAAGCTTGACGGCGGCGTTGTCGGACTCGGGATTAAGGATGTCCGACTTCGAAATGTTCATACGGTCGGCGACGGATGATACTACGGCGTCACTCTGAAAAGAGAAGACTGAGAAAAAGATATATTAATATACGGACGGGTACGTACATTCATGTATAGCATTCCCCAGTTAAAATCCTTGCCCGCTATTGCCTTCTTTTTTGCTTCACGCTCATCCTTTAAGGTCCTTTTCTTCCCTACCTCCTCTACCGCCACCTTGCCCTTCCTATTAATGGCCGGCAGCACGTGGAGCAAGCGACCTTGAAAAGACATCTTATCGAGTGTTTCGTACGCAATGACAGCTTTCTCGGGGTCTGCGAAGGTGACGTAGCCGAGACCTTTCGACGTCTTCGTGATCGAGTCGAGGGGTATGTGCGTCTACGAAACAAAAGATTAGGGAAGTGTTCACAGCAGATGGAAGAAAAAATCAGAAAAATATTTCTACTATAGATATCCCAGAATAATCAGCACTCCCGAAGGTCTGCTGTCCCTATTCTTGTATGTCATCTCGACAGCGACAACACTGGTCGCGTGTACAGTCACAAGCCAGATGCTCACCTGAGAGACTTCACCGAATGGCTGGAACAACCCGAGTAATTCGTCCTCGGTGCAAGTGAAGGCCAAGTTCCTCAGGAAGAGGCGACCAGTGCGGAGAATAGTACTCTTCGCCTCGTCTTCTGGCGAACTTTTCGCGGGCGTCTGAGATAGTCTACATGAGCATCTCAGTCAGTCCTATAGGAAGATAAAAATATACTTCAGATAGTTGATCCATTTCTGTATCCGACTGGTCGAACACCATGTCTGCGGACTCCGAAAGAGTGAGCGATGGCTTCATGTGACGCTTTAGCCAGTCAACGTCTGACGCAGGTTCGCCGCCGGAGACGTCTGCATCTGAAGGCTCTTCGTCTTCCTTTGCAGATCGCCCTTGCATTCTGACCTTCGAAGTTGAAGCGACACCTTGAGCATCCGCAGACGGGACGGTATCGACGTCTTTCCACGAGGGACCTTTCCTGGGCTGCATGACTTGCATGAACTCCTCAAGCCGCTCGTCCTTGTTGTCTCTCCCTCTGCCCTTAGTGGAGGGCTTAGCCTTTTCCTTCGAAACTTTGTCCTTGACGGGCTTCCCCTCTGACGGTGGTCCCTCAAGACGCGAGCGTTTGTTCGGTCGTGGCGCAGGCGCATCTTTCGCGCCCTAGGACTCGAAGTCAGGAGAAGCTAGGCGTATTTCGCGCAGAAAGGCGAACCTCAATGACTGAAACGTTTATCCTCGACGAATGAATGAAGGTCCTGTCAAACCACTTCGTCGCTTTTTCAGCCTCCACCTCAGTCTTGTACCCGACAAATCCAAATCGCCTGGAGGTGCCATCGGGCTTGAGTACGACCTTGACATCGGTAAGCGCGCCGCCAGGACCGCCCTTGGACTCGAAATGCTCACGAAGCTGCTGCTGTGTGAGGTACGCGGGTAGATTCTTGACTATGAGACGAGACATGGTGTATCTATCCGGGTCTGCGAGGTGAAATGTCGATGGCGGCAACAGAGGAGAGAACGAGCATTGCGTCAAGAGAAAATTGCTGGCAAAAAGCGACATTTAAACCGCTTTTCGGCGTTTCTCTATCGGTGATAGCCGCATAGACGCTTACAAATTAAGCGCCTAGATTTAGTCTCTAGTCTTCTTCGACCGCGACTGTCTGGTACTTGCTATTCTCTTTACGTGTCGACACGTACTTGCAACTTGATACTACATACAAATGACCAGCAAGGCAGTAGAGGCGCAAGAGCGCAACGCGAGGGGCATCCCTAAGGCACCGTTCATTGTGAATATGTCTGTACTTTCGTGACTTGGTCTTGCGCTGAAGCCAGACGCAATAGGCGGATGTTGCTGAATTTTTGGGGGCCGAGCCAAAAGTTGAGGGTGCTCTGAAAGAGTTCCAGGCTGCTCTTGCGTATGTTTCTCGATGGGCCTTCTGAGATCTATCTTTCAATGCACTACGCACAGAAAGTATCGCTACATGGACCATAATCTCGCCCAACGGCGGCGAAGTCTCGAGGAAAAGATTCCCGATATCAAAAAGACGCTGACCATGATTGAGTTCCTGCAGGAGAGGCGAGTGAGTTAGTTCTGTGCGCATCGCCTTCGTAGATGTCCAGCTGAGTACTTATTGGTGCTCAGGAAGAAAAGCAGGCTCCCGTTGACGAGGAAGACCTAGATTCAGACGACGAGGGAGATGCAGGCGAGAAGAAACCTCTCAAGACAACCTTCGAGTTGAACGACACGCTATATGCAGAAGCGGAATTAGAAGACACGGACACGGTCTACCTGTGGCTAGGGGTACGCTTAATTGCGACCGCACTTGGCTGAAATCTCATCGTCCGCCTAGGCCAACGTGATGCTATCATACAAGATTCCCCAAGCGATCGCGCTGCTGAAGTCCAAACTCGAGGGTGCGGAAAGCAATCTGGCGAATGTTATCGAGGACCTCGAGTTCCTGCGCGAGCAGATCACGGTCATGGAAGTTAACACAGCGCGAGTGTATAACTGGGACGTCAAGCGAAGGAGAGAGCTTCGCGAGAAGGAAGCTAGAGAAGGGGGTAGTCTGTTGAAATCAAAAGAGGAGAGCTGATCTTCAGCTTCAGGCCTTCAGAGTCAAAGAAAACATGATTCTGCTGCACTCGTCTTGCTGCTAATACCGGAGACCTCGTCGCTGGCCTGCCAGGAGATGTGCTCACGAGTGCAGATGCAACATATGAATGCATTAGTGTACTACGTGTATGCAACCTCTATGACAATGCAACAGTACTAATCAGACAGTCCTACTCTATATCTAATGAGACCCCATTCGAGAAACTGGTACAGATATAAGTGATACAGATGCGCCATCTTGCGCCTTTCAGGGATCGCCGCCTGCTCCACCGGTCCTTTGTTCGGCGGCAGTTGCGGCGGTGGCAGTTCACAGGCCAATTTAGAGAGCAAGGACCTCCTTGACGCGGCCGTCGCGGGGAGTCATCTTGATGCGGAAAGGAACGGGCGAGCGGCCCGACAGACCGTCGTACTCGGTCAGGTCGATGGGCTCGTTGGGGAGCTGCTCCATGTTGAAGGCCCAGAGCAGACCGGCGATGGCAAGGAAGATCTCCTGCTCGGCGAGCGGGATGCCGGGGCAGATACGGCGACTGCGAAGCAGGTTGTCAGTGAACAGTGTCGTGCGGAGCAGAGCAGTGGGAGCGGGAGCGGGAGTGGGAGCGGGAGGAAGAGGAAGAGGAGGAGCGGAAGGAAGAGGAAGAGGAGGAGACATACCCGGCACCGAACATCCAGTGGTCGCGCTGGTACGGGTCCGCGAGGTTGGCAGACTCGGTGTTGGTGTAGTGATCGTTGATGTAGCGGTCGGGCTAAAGGAGTGCAGAGACGTGCTCAGTGTCTGCGCGTATGTGCGGTGCGCCGTCACAGGAGAGCAGGACTCACGTTGAACTTCTCGGGCTCGGGGTAGCGCTTCGGGTCCATGTGCATCGTGTACTAGAAGAGCGCGGATGTGTCAGTATGTGCACTCTGCGGAGACACCAGGCCAAGCTGGATAGCCGGACAGCCAGATAGCTACTCACAGCGTTGATGATGACGACAGTGCCCTTGGGGATGAACTGGCCCTGGTAGGTAAAGTCCTCGGTGCTCTTGTGCGGCGTGCCAAGCCAGAACGGGTTGTGCACACGCTCGATCTCCTTGATGATCGCACGGGTGA